ATCCATCAAGATTTTCACTGATCATAACACTCCCCTTGCTTTGGATGTTTAGACCTGTACACTAAATGGATACAAACATAACAACTATGCCAGCTATAGTCTGAAAATATTTTATATACTTAACTACCAAAGTACATTAGCAATACAATGTATGCAGACATAGCATATAATACCTACTAAATCTGAAGCCGTATTAAACCAAAAATGTAATATATTGCAGCTTACCAATCATTAGATGTGGTGGCTACCTTAGTTTTCTTTTCTTAGACTTTTGACTGTTTTCATCTGGTTATATGGACAGTAACACAACTCCTGTATTAAGAGTGCCCCCACTCTGGATGAAGGTGCAAAGGGGACACGTTTGGACAGCAGCACTGCCTGTCTGTGGGGAGGGGAGTGCTAGTTGTACTAGCAGATTTAGGCACACTAACAATTTGAAGCCAAATTCCAGCTAATATTTTTAGGCAGTTACAGAAAACATTTTTTTTTCCTTGTGGGATAAAGGTTTTACCTAAATAAATAAAAGCTTATCATAGCAAGCACCCCTGCTAGTGTTAAATGGTTTTATCTCATCTCTGTAACTGGTACATTCTGCTGGAGAGCTTGTACTTTTCAAAAACAACATACTTAAGGGCTGGATCACCAGATGAAAATAGAAGAAAGAAAGCCTAAGAAAAGATGAATGCAGCCATCACATCTAAGAATTGGTAAGCATTGATACATTTTTCAACCTGCCACATGGCTGATGTATTATGCAACACACATTCATAGTAATTCCAATAAACCTATTCCGTGCCTGGATCAGCACTCTCATGATATTTTTCAGTCCAAGCTTCAAGTGTGACCAGAAGAAAGTTTGAACAGAAATGTGTTGATTTTGTTTTTGGGAATCCACCATTCTTGCTTTTTCAGGAGGAAGGTTTAAATATATTCAAACGTTATTATATTTATATATCACCTGCTTGATATTGCAAAATGGAAACATTCAAAGTGGAGTTTAAGGCTTGATCCCATTTAATCCAAAAAATGCTCCCTTCTCCCTTCTAACACCTTTGCTGTCTAACCTGTGGAAGAAAAATATATATATATTTAGATATTTTTAGGCCACTCTTCTCTGGTCACATGATCTCCCCTGTATAAGTTAGTGGTGGCTACATGGGCAAGGAGAGAGTGCACAACAATGGCTCGTAATACCTGGAGTGGTGACACCAACTATCTGTTGTTGGTGGTCCCTTCTCTCCCTTGCAGCTGCTGCTGGCTGACACAGAGGAGTCAGATCATGTGAGCAGACTGGAGCAGCCTGAAAATAGGTAAGTATATCCACTTGATGCCAAATCACGTACATGGACACGATTTGGCTTTAAGTTACATAGTTAGTCTAGCTGAAAAAAGACAAAAGTCCATCCAGTTCAACCCAAAACAAAATATATAATATATATATATATATATATATATATATATATATATATATATATATATATTTATTATACCTATACCCACAATTGATCCAGAGGAAGGCAAAAAAAACAGCTACGCATGATCTAATTTGCTCCTGCAGGGGAATAAAAATCCTTCCTGATCTCCCGAAAGGCAATCGGATATTCCCTGGATGATCAACTTTACCTATAAATGTTAGTATCCAGTTATATTCTGTGTATCTATGAAAGAATCCAGGCCTTTTTAAAGCAATCCACTGAGCTGGCCAGAACCAAGTCTTGAGGGAGTCTATTCCACATTTTCACAGCTCTTACTGTGAAGAAACCTTTCCGTGTTTGGAGATTAAATCTCTTTCCCTCCAGATGTAAAGAGTGCCCCCTTGTCCTCTGTGATGACCTCAGGGTGAATAACTCTACACCGAGTTCACTATATGAACCACTGATGTATTTATACATGTTGATCATATCCCACCTTAATCTCCTCTTCTCAAGAGAATAAATTCAGTTCCTCTAATCTTTCCTCATAGCTGAGCCACAGCTAAGTGGTTGTACCAAGACAATGCCCGGTGCCTCTCTAGGCTATACCATCCCACCGGCAAGCCCATAATGAATGCTGGCATTTTTACCGGCTTACCACAGAGTTCACCAAGGACCGGAATGCCCCCAATTATTTCTATGGTATAGAAAACCAGAAGTGACGAGCATATTCATCACTTCCAGTTTCCTGAAAGTAAACGGCGCTATTTTTAATTAGGGAAAGCATCTGAACACATCGGTCTTGGTGTGATCAGATGTTTTTAGGGCAGAGGAGAGATCAGGGATCTAATAGACCCCCAATCTCTAAATAAATAGTACCTGTCACTGCTTACTGCTGTCACAAGGGATGTTTACATTCCTTGTAACAGCTATAAAAGAGAGATCAAAAAAGCGTGACATGTTCGTTTTCTATTTATTCAGCATAACACCACCTTTAATATTTTACCAAAAAACTGGGTATTATATTATGATTGCATTTAAAAATTCATTAAAGTATATTTTTCCAAAAAGTTTGCATTCAAAAAACCACTGTGCAAAATACTGTGTATATACATAAACTGCAAAACCCACCATATTATTCTGTAGGACCTCTGCTAAAAAAAATGTATAATGTTTGGGGGTTCCAAGTAATTTTCTAGCAAAAAACACTGATCTTTACTTGTAAACAAAAAGTGTCAAAAAAAGGCCTGGTCTTCAAGTGGATATCCTGTACATCTTTTAGGTGTTAAAAAGAAAAAGGGAGCATTTTAAAATTAGTTAGATTTATCTGACAGCTCACCTTCAAATTTCCTCCCATCATACTGGAAGGCATTAAAAGAGTCCGAGTGGCTGTCTGAGCTAAGCAAATCACTACTGGCAGCACTAGCTGGAGAAGTCCACTCTGATGGAACCCCAGGATCATCCACTGGACGCATCTGACAATGTTTATTTAGTGAGTCTGGCAAATCCTTTGGAACTTCTAGACTACCAGGGCTGCTACCTCTGCGTGTAAGTGTCTGGGAGGAGAAAAAGAAAAGAGGGTGAAACTCGTAGTCATCAGTTAAATGGACATCATATACTTGAATGGGTACAAACATATTGATTAAATAAATATACTTCCAAGATGAAGAACACATTTTCACCATTACCCTAAAACCAGGTAATATAATCTCAACTGAAACTCTTTCTAATGGAATTAACAGTTTCTGTATAAATGTGAATGGCCACAATTCAAGGTGTTTTCATTGATGATCATTCTGTCTATTACACCCTTAAGACCTTTCAGGCTGACTATATGTTGCACATTCAAGGGATGTAAAGAAAAAAAAAACTATTAGGATGAAGAAACTTGAGATTGCAGCCATTTACGCCATTTTAGGTTGGTTCATTAGGAGAATCTTGTCACCCAAATCTAATGCAAAACAATCTACCGCAAATCTATCGCGAGTTAGTTCTGCACTGCTATGAACTGTTTTCAGCCGACCAATGTCACAGAGAAGGTCCAGGCTGGGGAAAGATCACAACTATATGGTCGAGATCCACCCAGGAGCCTGGACAGCTACATCATGGATAACCCTCTCAGTGAGCTGCTGGGAGCCTGAGCCAGCGGCTCCCAGCCCCTCCACAGCCCATCGCTCCAGTGAGCTCTGGGGGGGGGGGCAGAGCAGACAGCTCTCTGCTCAGAGCAGCAGGGAGAACACTGCGATCTGCGGTGTCTGATCGCTCAATTCTCAGCCTTAGAGCCGACGGGGGATTGATGCTGCATCCACCTAGGTAAGTATGATTTAAAAAAAAAAAAACTTCTTTAAATTTCCAAAGTTATAGACCAAAGTTTAAAATAATGATGTCAAAATGACCGGGCTAAAACTGAAAAATAATTTACAGAGTTTTTTTCTGTGTCAAACATAATAAAAAAAATTGCAAAATCACTATCAGCATATGACTTGCAGACCAGTAGGTCTGGGCTTATCAACTCAGCATTCTTAAAGCCACAGCATCATGGAAGGAGAGTCATAATGCAATTTTACACATTTCACTTTCTTTACAAAGCTGAGCAGACAATATGCATTGCACTTAGTTATTATCCATTTTTTTTTTTCAAAAATATATATTCATTTTTAGACTGTTTACAATTACAGGTAAATTTCAATATATTTATAAACCTTTTAGAAATATAATTATCCAACTAACATCATAAACTATTCTTATATTAGAACAAATCCAATATATCACTACTGAAAAAAATGACTATACCCAGAATATAACTTAGAAATAAACCAAACACTAAAACAAGAACAAAAAAAAAAAAAATACACATTCAGTGCCTTGCCTTATAAACCCTACCTAGATTTAATACAGCCACAAACAATATAATAGCTGGCTGATCACCATGAATTCCCAGATACCCTCCAATATAGGACAGTCTACCTCTCTTTAAGACAATAATCTATTTATTGAATTAATTAAGTTGAAGCTAAATGCGGGGTAGCAAAGCACCTATTCCTCATTTTTTCAAAATTTATTTGGGTGTTGGTAAATAATTTTTTCTTTAGATAAAGTATGATTTGTGTTTTCAGTTCCTCCAAGGTAGGGTAATAGAGGGATAACCTTCTTGAACAAATAATTTATGGGCTTAAAATAACACTCAAGTAATAGGGACACATGTATTTTCTGGTAAAGTAGCCTCATCCACTAAGTTCAATAAACATATCCCTGGGTCTTCTGCTACTGTAACCTGAAAAAAAACTATTTATTGTCTATTATAGATATTTATATAGCACCATCTATATTTATACAGCGCTTTCCACATATATTTTACATTCACATCAGTCCCTGCCCTCAAGGAGTGTACACTTTTTTCAAATTTTTTCCATGTTCGTTTTATTTTAAGATAGACAATCTGATACATGTTCGCCTTAAACAGTTTTCTGGACTCCACAATATCACAAAATGACTACATTAAAAAACCTGCAATCATCAGATACTTACTGGACCAGTGCCTGACCTCAACCGTTCTGCAATAAATTCATCCATTAGATCTGGGATATTGGCACTTGAGTTGATCTCACTGTTAAGGGCATTTAACTGCGAAGTCAAATCTTCCTTGTTAGCTACAAAGAAAATAGAAAAGTAAGTAATTCAGGGTATGCTTTAACTCTGGTTAAATGGTAAGCAAACAGACAAGGACTTATTGGGACACAACCAGGGAATAGTCTATACAGGGGTGAAGCATGCTGTTAAGGAAGGGGTTTCACCACTGTTGTAGCTGTTTTGGGAATTAGTGCAGAACTGTCTATGGATTCATTAATAAGCAGTTAGTCAAATTTGGGAAAAATTCTAAAGCATTGTCATTCCTTGAAGCAGAGCTGGCAGGGTAGAGAAAGGGTAGATATCCATTTGCCAGGAAAGGGAATTCCTCAAAGAATAGTAGGGGTAGGCACTTTGTATTGTCTTCTGCCATTTTCCTAATCTACATTTTCACAATTTCTAGTTTTTGAATAACCCATATAAAATGTAACATAAAAAACACAAAAAGGTTGATATATTTATGAAAAATATCTGCAAAAAAAGTAAAATGGTACAATCATGGTGGAAGGTCTGTTTTTTCCCCTAGATTTTGTAAAAATCAAGCATGTGAAATATGTATATACAGTGTGTATATGCTATATATTATACGTAAATAAAATTCCCGCCTACATGCAGACACTACAGTTGTCATTGTCATTATGAACTAGAATTCTTCTGTTCTCCTCTCCGATTTAAAACTCTTGGCAAATGTGGCTTCAATTCTCAGTGTGAAGATAGGTCCACATTGCAGAGTTCATTATGCAGCTCTCTGACACAAAAGGGTCTCAGGAGAATACTGCAAGGTATAGGGGAAAGCAAGTGTGCGACACTAAAGGTTTAGGAGCCCAAGAGCATTTATTTCATTATGAAGTCCAAAGGTAACAAGCCAACGTGCTTCGGGGGCTAAATTGTTCCCTCTTCATCAGACAGCAGCTTTAGTCCTTTTCTCCAAATATTTACTTTACCAGTAGGCTGTATGAGTCTATACTTTCCTGTTGCCAGTGTACACTGAGGCACGCTCACTGTACATCTGATATTCGGTTAGCATGAATTAGCAATGAAATTAGCAGGTAAGACCCAGGTTACAAAGCAAACCTTAATCAGAGAGGGGCACAGATGAAGCTTTTCTAATAAAGCACCATCTTATGTTGTCTTCATACAAGTTTATAGCCGATCTTGGGCCAAATATTAACCAATCTAACGGATCGCTGACTCTGATTACTTACCTAAAGCTATGGTCATATGCATCACCCTACTCGAGTCCTTTTCTCCTGTACTGTTCACATGAGGCAGGGTCCTTCTAAGGTGTCCATATCACTGTATGCATAATGTGGACTCTTCCTATTGCCTGTCCCGCGGTGGAGTCCACTCAGGATCCAGAAGTGGAGGAGTGATGTCAGCACGTGAGGACTTTCTCCTGATGGCGAAACACGTAGGGCTCTCGGTTTCTGGTGGCGTCACTTCTGCTGTTTGGAACGCAAACCGGTGTTCCTGGTTTCAATTCTATTTGCATGTACTTTTGTTGTGAATGTAAAAGCAATACTACATCCCAAAGAGTTTAAAATAAAAATACTACACTATATGCAGTTATCCTTACTCTCTCTCTGATGGTTGTACAGAGGACACCTGAAGGGATTGAGGCATTGCAAAGATATTAAAGAGGAAGGACTCAGTGGCCATCACCTAAAGGGACCATCATTTGCATGATACACTGATGGAAAAGTGCTATTTGACTTCTTTTTACATTTGGTGAGTGTTCTATGTGTGCTTTCCTAAAGGCACAGAAGAATGCCCATAGTTTAGGCACAATTCATGATTATTCTATGGATTGATGACACTATATAAGTTTCTGCACAAAAGCACTTTATTCACAAGTTATATATATTGGATTTATGTTGAAATAACAGCGTTTTATTCAACTTGAAGGACTTTTATTTATGGCAATGGATATTTGGATGTCTTATTGAAAGTAACTTATTTTGGTCACTATTATAGATATCTTTTTGTTAGCATATTTTTTTTTGTTGGTATACGTTAACACTAAGCGTGAGTGTTTTCAATATAAGCATGTGGGGACTGTAGGGGACCGTATCCAGGGTTGCACCTGCAGTTCTGGATTAGTGGTCCCCCCTTACTCGAAAATGGCATGAGTAACTGTAACAGTTATTACTGAAGGCATGCCTTGAACATAACTATTTTGGACAGCTGTTAAATCGATGGGTTTAGTTCTGCTTTAAAGTGTTACTAAACTCTCCTGGGTTTAGTTCCATTCACTATATCTGGTTTCCCACAGGACACGGAAATGCAATTATTTTAGTAAATGAAAACTGCTAAATACCTTTTCTCATCAGCAGTTAGAGCAGTCTTGTGACTTCTATCAGTGTCCAGCAGAGCACTGGTTAAAGTTTGTAGACGTTTTCATTCTCTTCTACTGTCCTATGAGGCTGCATGACCCCTGACACCTTTGTCTGGACAGTGCTGATTGGCGTTGTGCTGATCACATGACCTCTCCCAAGAAAAAAATAAACCTCTCTAGCAATACACACCAAACTCAGCATGTGCAGCTTGCCCCCAAGGCTCTGTTCTATCAGCAGATGGATTGGGGTAAATAGAAAAAGGGGAGGAACAGAGAAGACAGGATCAAACAGCCTTTTTACACAAGGCAGAGGATTAATCCCTAAGGTTCCACAGTGAGTATAACAAGCATGCTTTACTGCATATACAGACTGATTTTACTGTTGTGGGTTTAGTGACACTTTAAGGTCTCACACACACTGGGCATTTGCCCAACTTCTCTGAAGCCTTTTCTCGGGTAGGAGAAAAGCAGCTTAAAAAAAAAGTGTGTTTAAAGGCGTTTAGTCAAACTTTTGTTTCTGCTCAAACACTCCTCTCCTGAACACGCAACTGAGGTTTTTTATATCAGCCTCTCCTTTTCTAGTACTCCTGTAAACGCCTATGTGTACATTGCCACATCGGCTAACATAGAGGGGCATTTAGAGGCCAAAAAATTTTCAAACATCTAAAAGAAACTTTAGAAGTTTAATAAGTATGCCTATACTTATGTGTATGCATTTTTCTGTGTGTTACAAATGCAATGGAAACACATCTACCTTCTGGCAACAATCAACAGCATAATTCACACCAAATATGGAAATGTGATCAGGCCAGCTGTGCAGCATACCATAGGTACGTTCTAGTTAAGATGGTGACATACTGACTTATTGAATGCCAGTGATTTCTCTGTTGGAGAAGTGCTGGTGTGGAAAGTAGACTATATTGCCAAAAGTATTGGGACACCCCTCCAATTCATTGGATTCAGGTGGTCCAATCACCTCCATGGCCACAGGTGTATAAAATCAAGCACCTAGGCATGCAGACTGCTTCTGCAAACATTTGTGAAAGAATGGGTCGCTCTCAGGAGCTCAGTGAATTCAAGCGTGGTACTGTGATAGGTTGCCACCTGTGCATTAAGTCCATCCATGAAATTTCCTTGCTACTAAATATTCCACGGTCAACTGTTAGTGGTATTATAGCAAATTGGAAGCAACTGGGAACAACAGCAACTCAGCCACCAAGTGGTAGGCCACGTAAAAATGACAGAGCGGGGGAGCGCTTGAAGCGCACAGTGTGCAGAAGTCGCCAACTGTCTGCAGAGTCAATAGCTAAAGACCTCCAAACTTTGTGAGGCCTTCAGATTAGCACAACAGTGCGTAGAAAGCTTCATGGAATGAGTTTCCATGGCCAAGCAGCTGCATACAAGCCTTACATCACCAAGTGCAATGCAAAGCGTCAGATGCAGTTGTGTAACCACTGGACTCTAGAACTGGACTCCACCACTGGACTCTAGAACAGTGGAGACGTGCTCTCTGGAGTGACCAATCACACTTTTCTGACATTCTGATGGATGCGTCTGGGTTTGGCGGTTGCTAGAACAGTACTTGCCTTACTGCATTGTGCCAAGTGTAAAGTTTGCTGGAGGGGGGATTATGATGTGGGGTTGTTTTTCAGGGGTTGGGCTTGGCCCCATAGTTAGAGTAAAGGGAACTCTTAAGGCATCAGCATACCAAGACATTTGGACAATTTCATGCTCCCAACTTTGTGGGAACAGTTTGGGGATGGCCCCTTCCTGTTCCAACATGACTGCACACCAGTGCACAAAGGAAGGTCCACAAAGATATGGATGAGCAATTTTGGGGTGGAGTCCTGACCTCAACCTAATAGAACACCTTTGGGATGAATTAGAACGGAGAATGCGAGCCAGGCCTTCTCGTACGACATCAGTGCCTGACCTCACAAATGCGCTTCTGGAAGAATGGTCAAACATTCCCAGAGACACACTCCTAAACCTTGTGGATAGCCTTCCCAGAAGAGTTGAAGCTGTTATAGCTGCAAAGGGTAGGCCAACTCAATATTGAACCCTACGGACTAAGACTAGGATGCCATGAAAATTCATGTGCGTGTAAAGGCAGATGTCCCAATACGTTTGGCAATATAGTGCACCTCATCATAGATCTACTGAAATGAAACAGGGCAGTGCAGGGGCTTTTCACTGTCACAATGTGACCTCTAAGCTTTACAACATCACAGCAAAGCAAAGCAAATCCTAGGAACCAAACTGGGAAACATTACATTTCTGAGCCAACTAAAGTGTTGCATGACTTCTAGTTTGGACAGATTTTAGGACTTATTGGATATCTAAACCCACGAAAAAAAATATATTGCAGCTTATCAGTCATAACCCTTTCTCTGCCATAGCTGTTTTTGCATTTTTTTTCTACTTACAGGTTACTTACCTGTAAAATCATTCTTTGATACATAGGTTGCAAAAAGACACTAGTCCATCCAATTAAAAAAACAAACAAACAATAAAGCAGGATCCAATTTTCTCCAATGGGGAAAAATATTCCTTCTTCATCCCCTAGGAGGCAACCGGATATTTTCTGGATCAAGCACCCCTGATGTTGTTACCGCTAAATGTTTGTAACCAGTTGTATTTTGCACATTTAGGAATTAATACATCTGTTTATTTAAAAAACATTACTAA